CCTCGATACCCCGCTGACTGACCATAAAACCCAAGAATTTCCTAGATCCTACGCCGAAGGCACACTTCTCGGGATTCAGCTTCATTTGATACTTGCGTAGGGTGTTAAAAGTCTCTCGCAGGTTTGCCAAATGATCACAGAAGAGTTTGCTCTTGATAAGCATATCATCAACGTACACTTCTATGTTCCGACCTATCTGGTGATGAAATACGGCATTGACTAAAGTTGCTCCGGCATTTTTCAACCTGAATGGCATAACACGATAGTGGTAAGTTCCCCGGTCAGTGATGAAGGAGGTGTATTCATAGTCAGCCGGGTGCATCAGAATTTGATTGTAGCCGAAGAAGGCGTCCATGAAACTAAGCATCTGATAACCGGCAGTGGCGTCGACAAGCAGATCTATGCGGGGGAGAGAATAACTATCTTTGGGGCAAGCTTGGTTAAGGTCGGAGTAGTCGACGCAGAGTCTCTATTTTTCGTTGTTTTTACGGACCAGGACCACATTCGACAGCCATCTGAGGTAATCCACGTTCTTGACGAACCGTGCCTTCAGGAGTTTGTCTACCTCAGAGGCGATAAGGGCATTGCGTTCTAGGTGAAAGACACACTGCTTCTGGTGTAAAGGTCGAAAGTGGGGCTCAATACTAAGACGATGCGTAATGAATGAGGGATCGATACCCTGCATATCGGAATAGGTCCTGGCGAATACATCATTGTGCTCGGTTAGAAGGGCTGTGAGGTCAGCCTTGGCTTGGGAGGATAGTTGGCTGTCGATCTTAGCTATTTTTGTTAAGTTAGTGGGGTCGATGGGGACTTCAACAAGTTCTTCCACTGGTTTCCCTCTAACTAATTCATCTTTGTCTCGGACGTCAAGTCCTTCGATGATCATAGCCTCCTTCAGCTTGACCTCTTTGAGTAAAGAGACATAGCATTCTCTGGCCACAATCTGCTCTCCCCTCACGGTGCCAACCCTGAGGTCGGTAGGAAACTTCATGGCCAGATGATACGTGGATGTAACGGCTTGAAAAGCGTTAAGGGTTGTGCGGCCGAGGATGATGTTATAAGCGGAAGAACAGTCGACGACAAGGAAAGTAAGTAACTTGGTGGTTTGCCGTGGATACTCTCTGATGGTAATGGGACGATCGATGAAGCCTATGGAGGTCACCTGATCCCCTGTGAAGCTGACCAATGGGGTTTGGAGAGGGGACAATCTTTTCTCCTCGACCTTGAGCTGGCGATAGGTGTTTAGGAAGATGATATCTGAAGAGCTGTCGTTGTCGACAAGCACTCGTCTGACTTTCTAATTAGACAAGAGAACAGAGATGACGAGGGGTCATCATGAGGGTAACGGATGCCTGTGCAATCATCCTCCGTAAAGGTGATGGGTTCTATCCACTGTTTGGGGTGTTTGAAGGGACGGTCCAATGTCGCGACTTCTTTATCCAATGTCGCGACTTTTTTGAGTTCTGCTCGTTGGGCCGAAAGGGATGGTCTTTCGCGTGCAAGCCCACCAGCAATGACTCTGATCTCTTCAACAGGGGGGACAGGGTTGCCTTGTGCTCGGGGTTGATCATTGCCTTGGTTAGGTTGTGCAGGTTGTCAGGGAGGGGTGTCTCGGTGGTTACCTCTGGTTGGTTCGGTCCTTGGCCGTTGCTGAAGGCGGGCTGCCGTGAACCGACTGAGACACCCCTGGCATATCAAGCTCTCAACCTGGTCTTTAAGGTTAACACACTCCTCGGTATTGTGGCCGTGGTCTTGATGGAAATGGCAGTATTTGGACTAGTCTCGCCGGTTGGAAGGAGACCGCGATGGTTGTGGCCATTTCAAGGGATAATCTCGTTGGATCTGGTTCAAGACTTTTTCTATGGGGAAATTAAGGGGAGTGTATCATTCGAACCGGTCGGGTGGGTGCCGATCGGTCGACTCGAGCAGGTCAGTCGATATACTGAGGTGTTTGTTGTGTGTACTGGGTGGTTCTGGTTTCAGATTCCTTTCTCTTCTCTCTGAGGGTTGGGTTTTTGGTTGTGGAATCTTGTCGGGCAGCTAGAGAATCTTCGGCATTCATATATTTTTGGGCTTTGGAGAGGAGGGTTGCCATGGAAGTCGGAGGGTTTTTGAAGAGGGAGAAAAGAAAGTCGGATGATCGTAGACTAGCCATGAAAGCTGTGAGAATGACCTTGTCATCGTTTTTCGCCACCTGCAAGGCCTCGGTGTTGAAACGAGTGACAAAGCTACGCAGCGATTCCCCTTCCATCTGACGGATGTTGAGGAGCTGAGATGTCGGATGCCGTTGGCACTAGGCACTAGTAAAATGGCTAAGAAATGAATCACTTAGGTGTTGAAAAGTAGAGACGGAGTCCATCGATAGCTGACTTAACCAGAGTTGAGCCGACCCCTTGAGCGTTACGGGAAAAGCCCGACACATGATCTCATCAAGAAAAGCATGAAGGATCATTAAGGTCCTGTAAGTCTCCAAATGGTCGACCGGGTCCGTTGTACCGTCGAAAGAGTCGATTGAGAGCATTTTGAACTTTGGAGGTAGGGGTTTTTCTCTGATGGAGGCGATGAACGGTGAGTTGGTTGTTGTAGAGGGTTTATTCTGTATGTTCTGCATGACTCATTGAAGCTGGAGTTTCATGGCTCGGAGCTCCGCATCCCAGACAGGAACGTTGTTACTCCCGTAATGCAATGGAGGTTGGACACTACTGACCTCTCCCTCAGGAGCAGATGCTTGGACCGGGACCCCGAGGTGGTGGATTTATATCTTGGGGTAGGGGTCGCAAACCCTCCAAGTTGGAGGGGTGGGCTTATTGGGAGGGATGGCTCGAAGTTCGTTCTCAATTAGGTGGGATATTTTATGGTAGTGGAGGAAGCACATGGAGGTCTAGTTGAAGCAAAGCGTTGATCAGGGCTTGGTTTTGTTCAGCTAGGCGGTTGATGTTGTTGGTAAGTTTTGTGAAATATTGCGGGGGTTGTTCAGGTTAGGAGGGTCGGCTTGGGGGTCGGCAACGTTGTGTTGAGAAGCCATGGATCTTGTTGTGACCATCCACCTCGGTGGGTGGCAAGGTGGAATTATCGGGAGTAGGTCTCCAGTAACAATGAGAACAATTGTCACACGGAGTAAAAGGTTCCCACAGATGGCGCCAACTGATGATGCTGCTAGCTCCTGATAGAACGGGTGGGTGGATCCACGTCTCCCAAACCGTTGTCCGATTGCTGGGCCCATGGAGAAACCTGTACAAGAGTTCAACGGGGAACGGGAGTCCCCCAACGAACCCTTCGACGAGCAAGTTAGAGAAGAGAGAGTGATGGAATGTAGAGATAGGATGGCGATAAAGAACTTAACCTTCTTTTTGTCTTAGAAGCCTACTTATATCCTTTGTTCATCATTTCCTTGTCCACTTCAACCTGTCATGTTGGCCAAAAGCCTACGTTTTAGCTTGCCTTGTTCATGGTGAAGTCGTTCTGTCTCGACGTGAAGGGGTTGTGGCATTAAATGCTGTAGGGGAGCTCATTAATGGCTAATGCGTGGTGCAATAACTCTGCAGGATCTTTGTGTACCTACGTGGCTGGTTCTTCTGTTGGCAAGTGTTTAAGTATCATTGGTCCTTGGTGCAACGTTGGGTTCCAGCAATGTTGGGCTGTGGTGTTTGAGTTATGCATTGGGCTCTAAGTGGTGGGCCAAAAGTCCCTATGGGCCCACCTATGTCACTAGGTAACAAGAGAATTTTGTTTAGGGAAATTGTGGATCAGTGGCATAGTTTGAAGATAATTGCACTACACAAGAAATTTTTAAGTGCAAATTTGACAGAGGAAAGATGTCAGTAGAGACTTGCACCCCATGAAAATGAATTTTTTTTAGGTAAACTACCAATAGGTTTTAATAGAACTTAATTCTCATCAAATCTTATTGAAAATTAGAACTAATAAAATTGCTTTTAAAAATAATTTTTTGTAATGATTTTTTGCACATATCGTTAAAAATTAACAATTAGCGACTTTTTTTGTCGAGGTTATTATAAGTTGTTCCTAAACTTATAATTAGTGACATTTTTCTACGACCAATTTTTCAAATAGTTGCTGAAAATTAAAAATTAATGACGTTTATTTTGTGACGATTTTTTTAAACTGTCGTTAAAATTTGTAATTTGTGATATTTTTTGTGACAAATTTTTTAAATTAGTATTTTTTTTAATAGCATTTGATAAAAAATATCATTAATTCTCACAAGATATTAAATAATAAATTCACCTGTTAAGATCTACAAGTAACTCTCTTCTCTTTTTTTTCCCTCCGACTATCCCACTGATTTGTGATTTCTTTTTTTATTTATATGTTCAATCCTCCCCTAAAACAGTATTTAGATGAATAGAAAACAAACACGCGGCTCAACATGTCCACTCAATAATATCCATCAAGAAGTTACTAAAGCAATCTATAAGTTTTTTGATCTTCTAACCGACACGACACAACACAACAAAATCAACCTGAAACAACCCCCCATCCCCTCCGGAAAACAAAACTTTGACCAGTGCAACCTATATCCAGTACGTGGTGTTTTGAAAAGTTGATAAAAAATTAATTTTTTAATTTTTTTAATATGAAAGATAATATAATCTAAATAGATAAAAAGTTAAAAATTAACTTTTTATTTAGTTGTCAAAGCACCCCTATGTGTATCATTTCTATATTGAAAATTGTTATATACCCATGAAGTGTAGATCAAAATAAATAATATATTTAATATCTTATTATTTATATAAATATTGAATTGGGTTCAAAGTCAGTTCGTTTATTAAACCAACTCAAAAGTCTGGCTCGAACGACCCGAGTTGAGCTCATGAACATATATAGCCTCCGTTTGGCAAGGCAAATTGGGGCTATTTTAGCCACTACCGGACAAAAAAGGCTAAATTAGCCAAATGGAGACAAAAGCCAAGCACGTGCTTGGCAACAACCTATGCCATGGTAAATTTACCAAACTACCTCCACTCACTCTTGATTGAGAGGGCCATCGCCTCACTACACACACACAACACATTTTCTAGGGCACACAGAGAGGGTGAAATGAAGGAGGCGATTTGGAGACCCTCAACGGCGAAGACATCTGACAAAGCTTGCCACAGTCGATCGGTACCGAAGTACACATCTGCGGCGTCGAAGAAGACTCACGAAGCTTGCCAAAATCGAACGCTTGGGGCGTACATCTGCGGCGTCGAACAACAACTCACCGTCTAAAACACCATCGGTCTTCAGGTAATGGCTGTTTCAGTTTTGATTTCGTTTTCTTTTTCGCGTAAATCCGTCCCCTGCATCCCGATCTGCTGGCTTCATCTATGAAATCCCTTTCAGTGGGTGATTACAAATTTTTTGACTCCAATTTGTGTGGACTCTGTTTTTTGTTTGTCATGTGGGAAACCCACCGCCGAATGTGAAGACTTTGAAGGTTTCACAGATACACACAAAACTAGGAAATGGATTTTAAGGTTTTACTTCCCAAATCAAGTTAAATATTCCCAATTTCAGATTGTTTGTATACTCTTCAATTTTTCTGTTTTGTACACTATGATGAATGTGCAAAATGAGCCAATAACACCCACCAATCAAAATATTAAATCTAAGAGAAAGTAAATTAGAGAATTAGAGTGTCTGTCAAATTAATGTATTGGTCTATTATAATTAGAATGTTACAGTGCTCTGTTTACTACAACTAGGGCTGTGCAAAATACCGCCCAATCCGCTAAAACCGCACCGATCCGCATCTATCCGCATCGCTCTAACCGCTAACCGCGGTTTAAACTTTAAAATTTATAATCCGCCAAAGGTACATGGTGTCTTAATCCAATTTATGACATCTTCATTTAAAATTAAGACCACTACACAGAGCATATTAGTGTAAATTCCAATAAACTTATAGACAAGAGTGCTTAATAGAGATCATGATATTTCCATATCCATGGTCATTAGGGTTAATTTAAGTTGAGACTTTTGGCTTTATCCAATTGAGAGTTGATTTGGATCTATTCCTATATAAATGTAAGAGAAGTAAATTGAGAAATAGATAGATAGATATAAATCTGTTCTTATATAAATCTATGATCAACCCATGATAAAAATTGAGAAATATATAGATATGAAGTACTTTAAAAATCTATTCTTATATAAATCTGTTCTTGATTTGTTCTTATATAAATTTGTTATTAATTTATAAATCTGTTCTTGATTTAATTGAGAAGTAAATTGAGAAATAGATAGATATACATTTGTTCTTATATAAATCTGTTCTCGATTTGTTCTTATATAAATGTAAGGGAAGCAAATTGAGAAATAGATAGATATAAATCTATTCTTATATAAATCTATGATCAATCTATGATCAATCTATGATACAAATTGAGAAACACATAGATATGAAGTAGTTTATTGCTTTAAAAAAATTGAAATCTTATCAAGATTCACAGAGTTTATCCAAATGTTTCTTGATTTGTTCTTATATAAATGTAAGAGAAGTAAATTGAGAAATAGATTGATATTGTAGGAAAGTTTCCCAACTGTACGTTGTTATGAACAACACAGGAAAGAGTTACATTGCAGAGGTGTTAATGAAAATATTTTATCAAACCTTGTGGCTTCATTTAATGAAGATAGATTAGTGAACCCATTCTCTCCCTCATATGCACAAACATCTGTGTTGTTTTGAAAAAGCATAAAAATTAGATTAGCTTTTTTGGGAGAGGAAAAAATTTGCATGAATTCTGTTTGCTCAAATCTCAGTGTATTTAGAACTTTTTAGGTTGGTGACTAATCTTATCCAAGAGTTTATCCAAATGTCTCTTGATTTCAAAGCCTTTGCACTTTCTCGACTGTTTCATGATAGGAAACACACGGTGTTCATGGCTTTTTTATATTATTATTATTCTTTTGGGGTTGTATATATCCCATATGTGCAAGTGCATATGGATAAAAGAATGTGGATGAATAATAATTTTTAAAATTAATTTTTAAAATATAAATTTTAAAAGAAGTTTACCACTATACAAGAACGTGGATGAATAATAATTTTAAAAAATAAATTTTATTAATGGTAAATTACGACAATAGTATTTGTACGTTATCATTTTGATTCATGTAAATTTAATTGATTTAATTTGATCATGAATTTTTAATTTGATTCATGTAAACACACGATGTTCATGGCTTTTTTATATTATTATTATTATTTTTGGGTTGTATATATCCCATGTGTGCAAGTGCATATGGATTAATAAATAAGTTTACCACTATACAAATCTATGGATGAATAATAATTTTAACAAATAAATTTTATTGGTAGTAAATTATGACAGTAATATTTGTACATTATCATATAAATTTAATTGATTTAATTTGATCATGAATTTGTATTTATAATTGATTTAATTTGATCATAAATTCTTAATTTGATTCATGTAAACACACGGTGTTCATGGCTTTTTATCTGTTAGGTTTGAAAAGGAAATTCACTTTTACCTTTCTATTAACACGTTGATAGTGAAACCATAGCTGGTAGGCCACTTTTCTATAATATAAAATGAATAAAATAATGAGTTTGAATACCCATCCTATGAAACTTGTGCATCAACGTATTCAGTTCATGTTTATCCTGAAATATGGATTTCATAAACTAATTACTGCTATGATTCATTGTTACTTTCGAATGTTTGTCAAACATAGCATGGCTTCGTTTACCTTTACTGCAACTTCCAGTACATGGCCACGCCGAATGTGTGCCTGTGGACATGGCCCCTGTATTGTTAAGATTTCCAAGTCCACCAAAAATCCAGGGAGTCCCTACTTTGCATGTCCCCGCGCCTGTGATGAGTGCCCAATCCATTACCGGTCATAATTGCATGAACATTAAGAACCCATTGACTAATAGTTTCATCATTTGCACTCATCAGCCTTGTGTCAGTTAGATTGATTGGTGCGCAGAACCAAGGCGACAGAGCACAGACTATGCGTCATTTAGAAACGACATCGTCATGCAATTGCGGGATGATGTCATACACATTCAACAATCCTTGCGTCTCCTTAAAACCATTGTCTATGTGCTATGCATTGTTGTTATCATTTTGTTGTTGCGTATGTAAGGAACGTTAGGATATTGTTAGTATGTTCGAAACGTTAGGAGGTTGTTAGTATGTTTTAGTATGCCTATAAGCTTGCTTTGCGTTCCTCCACTAGGAAAGGGTAGACGTATTAATGACTATCATAGCTATGTCCACCGCTCAGTTGCATGTTTATTTATGTATTTTATTAATGTGCAACAACAAAACAACTGGACATTTCTACAAGCATGTCGGTATGTCCAAGAGTGGTACAAAAAACACATGGCTAAAACACCATGTCACACTTCTATATTGACCGGGCATGCATGGATATCCGAACTATATGCGGGCCATATGGGTCGATTTGAGGAAAATGTTTGCATGCCAAAGGAAGTTTTTGCCGCTTTGTGTGAAACATTAGTAAATGATTTTGGGTTACAAGCACCGTAACGTCCACATGGCTTAGTTGTTGAAGAAAGCGTTGCAATATTTATCCACGTGTTGAAAAGGATGCAAAATCAGGAAATCTAAGAATGGTTCCAATATTCGGGGGAGACTGTGTCTCGGTACGTGCATAATGTATTAACTTCCATGAAAGAGTTCATAGTTGTTCATTGCTAGCCCACATATAGTCAGCATCATATACATCCATACGTGCAGTCTAAACGGAAATACCTACCGTTCAAGGTACTATTGAAAAACCTCACCCAGTTATGTGTGCCAAGTCCAGTTATTTTTTTTTTATTTTTAAGTGGACGTGACGTATGAAAATAACCATTACATGTACCCGTAAGAGTAACAATACAATTGGGTTGTTGGCAGGGCTGTATTGGAGGCATAGACGGAACACGTGTAAGTGCATGGGTTATGGGGCCAGATGCGTCAACATATTTATAGGAAATACTGTCACACGCAAAATATCATGGCTGCGTGCGATTTTGACATGTGTTTCATTTTCATTTCGTGCGAATGGGAAGGAAGTATGCACGATAGCCGCATCTTCAACGAGACACTAACAAATGATAATGTCCCATTTCCACATCCTAAAGAAGGTAACACAATGCATTGAAAAATCGATGGGGGTATAATATTTCGCCAAACATCGTTACTTGAAAATAAAGCATAATGTCAATTTCGTGTCATAAATTCTTATACTGTCTACAGGCAAATATTATCTTATCGATGCTGATTATCCAAACCAGGTAAGTTACCTAGCACCTTTCAAAGGCAGTCGTTACCACCAACAACAATTCCGAAGTAGTGAACGGAACAGGACGACAAAAACCTCAAGGGAATTATTTAACAAAGTTCACTCATCGTTGCACAGTGTGATGGAACGCACTTTCAGTGCCTGAAAAAATCGATGGGGGTTTATTAGAGACATGCCTCGGTATGACTTTGCAAATGTGCAAGTTCAGTTAGTAAGTGCGTCAATGGCATTACATAATTATATACGGTGAAACACAGGTAATCCAACAACTGTTCACCCAATCTGCAACGAGGAAGAGGCTATGACAATAGTAAATGCCATACCAGAAGTTGAACATAACGAGGATGGTTTAATGGTCGGAGATGAGGACCCGTATATGGCATTGGTGCGACTTCGCTTATGCGACAAGTTAGTGTACTTGCGTAATAACGGAACGTTAGGAAATATATAATAGTCCACCTAATATTCGTAGGCTTCTAACATTGGTAACACACGTGGAACAAACTATATGTAAATATATTATCATGTACAATATGTATGTGTTTACACAGGAATATAATCTCTTTCAATTGGTGACGTGCCTAACTTTGAAAAAACAAAAACCACAGAAAAAAGCCTTTTCGAAAAAAAAAAACAAGTCAAACAAATAAGAAAAAAAAAAAAAAAACAAATTCAAAAATTATCATGTGCCACGTCAATTAAAAATATAAAAAGATCAGTTTAAAACAACAAAAAGCCAAAAGAGGCATAAAAAAATTATCATGTGCCACGTCAATACATTATGATTTTTCACATCATTTTGAATAAATTACATGAAAAAACCTTTTTCCAAAAAAAACAAACAAAGTAAAAAAAAAATTTAAAAACATAAATTAGCAGTTGCCACATAATTTAAAAATAAAGAAAACACATGAAAAACCATTTTTGAAAAATAAAAACAAATTAATGTATACAAATAAAAAAAATGACAAAAACGTAAATGAAAAAAAAAAAGAACCACAAAAATACGCCTCATCCAACAAAAAAAAAAACGTAAAAACAGAAATTAGCAGTTGCCACGTAATTTTAAAATAAATAAAACACATGAAAAATCATTTTTGAAAAATAAAAACAAATTAATGTATACAAATAAAAAAAATGACAAAAACGTAAATAAAAGAAAAAAGAACCACAAAAATACGCCTCGTCCAACAAAAAATAAAGAAGTAAAAACAGAAATTAGCAGTTGCCACGTAATTTTAAAATAAATAAAACACATGAAAAATCATTTTTGAAAAATAAAAACAAACTAATGTATACAAATAAAAATGACAAAAACGTAAATTTTTTAAAAAAAAGAACCACAAAAATATGCCTCATCCCAAAAAAAAAAAATTAAAAACAGAAATTAGCATTTGCCATGTAATTTAAAAATAAATAAAACACATGAAAATTCATTTTTGAAAAATAAAAGAAAATTAATGTATACAAATAAAAATAAAAATAAAAATGACAAAAACGTAGATTTAAAAAAAAGAACTACAAAAATACACCTCATCCAAAAAAAAAAAATTTAAAACAGAAATTAGCATTTGCCACGTAATTTAAAAACAAATGAAACACATGAAAAATCATTTTTCAAAAATAAAAACAAATTAATGTATACAAAAAAAAATAAAAATGACAAAAACATAAATTAAAAAAAAAACCATAAAAATATGCCTAACCCAAAAAAAAAAAAAAAAAAAAAAAAAAAAGTTACAATGACGTTAACATGGAGGAAGGACGACTAAGAGTTGAAATGTAAAATACTAAGGGCAGTTCGGTCATTTAACATGTGGACACCTCACCAAAGAAGCCAAAAAAGCTAAAAAGTCCTTCACAAACCTAGCTTTTTAGCCCCAGGCTAAAATAGTCAAAAAAATCAAAAAGTCAACTCTCTTTTCAAACGACACCATAATATATACCTCTGAGGTCTGGGAATCAATACTTCTTCTTGCCGGTCGTGATCTCTGGTGGCACACGGCCGGTTTCCACCCCCGTCCCTGATTTTACACCAAAAATATACATATAAATGTGTATATATATATATATATGTATTTGTTATTGTTATGAGTTTGTGTAATAGGAAAGAAAGACAGAGAACAATTAACAAACACAATAGAGTCATGTATAAATAGAAGACCTTCAAGGGCTGTAAAATAAGCCTCATGCGGCACAGCCTAGATTGCTTCAATCTGAGACAAATTGAGAGAGAGAGAGAGTGTGTGTTATAATGTATGTATGTATGTACATGTATAATTTATGATATATATGTATATACCCCAGCGGCTTTGATGAAGCAATGGGCGATACGGTTGAGGAGAGGGTGGCCAAGATAGAAGAAGACGGAACCCTTGTTGAAGTTCCGTATCTCACCCAACAGTGTTCTCGTCTCCAAATTCTTATTGCTCATCTCTCCCTCTCTCTTCTTTGTTGATTTCAAATCAATTTCAAAAACGCAGACAGAGAAAATGCAGTTGTAGAAGAAGAATGAAGAAGAAAATGATAAGAGAGTGTGTGTGCATGTGTGTAAGTAATGGAATGGAGAGTGTAATGTCATGTGGTGATTCGTTGGAGTCCGGATCCTCTCCAGCTTTTCTCTCCGGCTCATCTTCCGAGAAACGGTTCAGATAAAGTCACGTGACCTACAAATAAATAAACGGCTCAGATTCATTTCTTTAAAAAAAAAAAAAACATATATGTCCCTCTCTCTCTCTCCGTTCTTTCTCACTGACACACACTCATCACAGCACACTCTCTCTCTCTTTCTCTCTCTCTCACATTTCTAACCAAAAAAAAAATTAAAATTAAGACCACACTTTCTCTCTGTATCACATTTTTAATAAAAAAAAATACATATATATATTTTAATCTTTTTGAGTTTATTTTCATAATATATATTATATATATAATTTTTAACATAAAATTTTAATTTTTATAAAATTAATATGATTGAAACTATACTTTTAAAATAAGACTAATATTAAATATATTTAATAAAAATTTAAAATAAATAAAAAGTAATTACCATGTTTAGTTATGCTTTCAAAGTATTATTATAAAAATTATTTTGATGAAATAAAACACACAAAAATCATATATTTTTGAAATTCTTAAAAATAATTTTCATTCCAAAAAAAAAATATATGAAGTCATTATTTTGAAAATTATTTTAAAAATATATGAAAATTAAACTCGTTTGGTTAATAAAATTAAATTAAAAGTCATTATTTTGAATTTTTTTCTGAAAAATATAATATTAGTCTTATTTTAAAAGTATATTTTCATTACAAGTCATTATTCTCATATATGAAAATTTTTTAAATAATAATTTGAAAGCATAACTAAACATAGTAATTACTTTTTATTTATTTTAAATTTTTATTAAATGTATTTAATATTAGTCTTATTTTAAAAGTATATTTTCAATGATATTAATTATATAAAAATTAAAATTTTATATTAAAAATTATATATATTATGAAAATAAAATCAAAAAGATTAAAATAGTTTTTTTATTTTTTATTAAAAATGTGATATAGAGAGAGAGTGTGATTTTAAATTTTTTTTTTTTTTGGGTTAGAAATGTGATAGAGAAAGAGAGAGAGAGAGAGAGAGAGAGAGAGTGTGTGTGTGTGTGTTCTGTGGTGAGTGTGTGTCAGTGAGAAAGGATGGAGAGAGAGAAAGGGACAGATTGAAAGTGTGTGTGTGTGTCAATTAGTATGTTTTTTTTTTTTAATTTAAATAAATGAATTTGAACCTTTTATTTATTTGTAGGTGACGTGGCTCTATCTGAGCTGTTGCCCGGAGGATGAGCCAGAGAGAGAAGTTGGAGAGGATCCAGACTCGATTCGTTGGGGGGAGAGGTCAAGTCGAGTGGGGATGCGTGGAACGGTGGGCCTTTACGTGTTGCTTCCCCTCTTCTTTATCAGTCCAATTCTCCTGCCACGCGCCCATTAAGGGTGAACAACAGATATATCGATCCGTCCAAATCGATTGAACCGAACTAATCCGTCATATTTTGAATGGATGCGTGATGACAAGCGGATGGTTGCGGATTGATTTTTTCCAATCCGCCTAGTTTTGGACGAATGGTGAATTTGAGGTTTCTTTGGCCACAACCGAACCTCCAAACCACAAGCACCCCTAGTAATTTGTAAGATTTTGTATTTTCAATTTATTTAGATATTTTGTTTGTATTTTCAATTGAAAAAGAGTTTAAATATTCTATTGAATATGTTCTGTTGAAAAAAAGTTTTTAACTTGAATATATTTTTTGATTTTTAAATATAACTCTAAAAATAATAAATAAATAAGATTATATATGCTGGTTGGTTTTTGTTTTCAAAAACAGATATAGATGTAATAATACAGAGGCTTACAATCTCTATTACTACTTTGTTCATAATTTTAGTGGTTTGAATTGTTTTTATATTTTAAGAACCACATGTTGTAATATTTTTGTGAATGAGGCATGTTGTAATTGTAATATGTGGATGAAACATGTAGTGATTGTAATATTCTAAAGTTGCAAACTTTCTTTCTTTAGATGAGACATGTAGTGATTGTAATATTTTTTTAAATCATTGACTGTAATACTTTCTCTTTTTTTTTGGAGGAAGTGCACAAGTTAAATTATATTGAAAATTTATAAAATTTTAAACCGCCAAATCAATTCACGTCCATCCTCCAATCCGCTCAATCTACATTCGTCGAATTGGCAGACGGATGTAAATTGATTTTCTCCAATCCGCCAATTTAGAGGACAAATGACAGATTGGATATTTCGTGACTGCAACCAACCTGCGCCCGCCCCTAGCACCCATTGTAAACTGGATTAAAATAACAAAGTCTCATATTCTCAAAAAATAATTATTATACATCAATAATAAATTTTAAGATAAATTATAAATATACTTCTTAAAATACGGAGTGTTACTGTAATTTTAAAAATTACATTATGCCATTTTAAGTTAATAATCACATAACAAATGTCCAATTTATTAATAAATTATCAAATTAATAAATAATTTTATTATTATATAAAGTAATAATTAGAAAATTTATTTTATGTTAATTTTATTAAATAAAAAATTATGACAATCAAATATTTATAATTTTTTAAATGAAACAACTCACATTTTAAACAAATCTCGAAAAGTTCATTCATATTTTATACTAAATTCTATAAATATTAATAAATTAAAATTTTAATTTTTTATGAATTTATAGTTATTATTTATAAATTCCACTATATTGTAAATTCTCTTTTGTGATTTAGCTTGTGTCTGTTTGAAAAAGATTTTTTTTAATTGTATGAAGAAGAAGAAAGGTGAATAATCAATTTGCTTTTTGCTTTTTATTTTTTGGAATATTTATCAATAAATCCTATCTCACAAACTGTTATACCAATCAGTCCCCACTTTATACTTTTGTTCCAGTAAGTCCTACTGGTGGGGAGATTTGTTCCCTTCTGATCCTTTTTTCTTACTAGTGGACAATTGTACCTTTTTTTTTTATTGGAAACTTTTTTTTGCTCACATTTGGTAGTTTGAATGGAATGTTCACTTATATGTCAGCCATCATGGGTAGGGTTTTGTGTCGTCTGAGTTTGGGTGTCTGTGGACGACTGTGTGCCAACTTGATAGAGATATCATTTCCATGGGCAGGACGCCATTGTTATGAAGGTACGTTCCCTTATGACGGCTATGTGTTTGTGTGGCATACATAGCAAGTTTAGTCGCCGACACATCCGTCTTTTGTCGTTGTGTGGATGCGTTTCTATGTTTTGTTTATTTACCTGGTACGTGGGTTGTGTGTTTGGCGAGGGGTTGTGTGTTGTGTTTTGGGATGGGTGTGAGTTCTGTGTGTTTGTGACTCTGTATTTACTGATATGTGCATTTTACTTGTGTGTGGGTTGTGACTCTGTGCTTGTTTGGTGCAGCTTAAAAGCTGCTTATTTCAGCTTTCAGCTTAATTTAAATTATTTTGATGTGTTTGGTTTAACTTATAGCTTATACCTTATAACTTTTTGAAAGTCAGAAATCAGCTTATTCTTTGAGTGGGGCAGAAGATGCTTAATTTATAAGTCAAAAATCAACTTATGTTTATAGTTATAAGTTATAAGCTGTTTAGGCATAAGATATAAGTACTGTCCCATAACTCTACCAAACAGAACCTCTGTGTTTTATTGCATTCTATTTTGTGATTGTATCTACTTGTTTTTCCGTTGTGATGGAGACACATGTAATGTTGTGTCACGTAACCCACTAATGCCTCAAACTATGGAGGTGCCACACACTCCTACCATACACATCACACACTAGAGCAAAAAATGCTTTAGTGTCCTTTCATGTTGTGTGGCACCCACAACTGTGATACATGACAAGCACCACTCTGAAATTATAAAGGTGCAACATACAACAGTCCACGTCAAACACACGCGCGGAAACACTCGCACACCCAACGTATTGCTTACACCAATATACATATGGATGGCAACAATGTCCTTTCACAATAAAAATGATCAAACGGATCATTAGAAAATATTTGAGACTAATTGGATCAAAAGTTCAACAATTAAGATTTATTAGTAAATTTTCCTTCTTTTTTTTTTTTTTTAACTTTTCAGCCTTTTAATGATTCTTTAATTTTTTAAACGAAAATCTTCATTTCAATGCATGAAATTACAATTAGTTACAAAATACAAAATTTATATATTGCCATATATTATTAAAAGTATTAAACATCTCTTTTAGTTCAGTTATATAAAATACTACAAAATTATACCTACAGAAATATTACCCTCAAGCCAATCACTGCACCCAAAAACACAATGAGAGGAGATGAGAGGAGAGCAAAATGAAAGGAAATTAACTATACAGGGCAATATTGGTGCCCTATCTATCCCACATATATATAATTCACATATACCTATCTATATATGAAAGGGGGCGCAGAAGCACAAAGGAGACAAAACCCAAAAATGACTAAAAAAAAGAGAGAGAGAAAGGAAAATTAGGAAAACCAAAATTAAATGCTAAAAGAATGTTTTACAAAAGCAACAAATTACTCGGCTCAAAAGCATCAGAAAAGACTTAAAATGAAGCGGGAAGGGAAGTCTGCCTACAATAAGAAAATACGAATTTCTTGCCGCCCTTTTGATGGCACTGTACGGCGTCCCTCTCCCAACCCAGTCGTATTCATTTAGTCAGTTTCTGATTTCACTTTTGAATGTAAAGCACAGGGCTGGATAACTTCCATGTCGAAATATGCTTCTGGAACATAAATTAAGACCCGCTAACAGCCATTTCTGGTGAGGAGTTCGGTGGTATTAATGGGCAGTCCTCTCCGCTCAACAATCTATTGTCTGTAGTAGTACTGTGCAAGCTATCAGAACAGCTTCTAGGACCGGTTGATTCTTTATCTGTATAGCTCTCCTCATCTGAACTCCTACACTTACCCAAACAGCTTATGGATCCCTTATCTGGGTTATTCTCTTCGTCTGGGATATTCTTGGAGTCTGGAGAGGAAGGAACAATCTGCACGGTGCTTGCTGCTTTTTTACTGGGTAATACCGCTTGACTTAGAGTTGAGCACAAGGCAGCAAATACACTATCTTTGGACTTCGGGTTTTTACCTATCCGTTGCTTTTTTATTAGCCCAGGCTCGTCCTTCAGAGCCAACTTCCTTTTCAGCTTAAAGGACTCGACTGTTCCCTCATCTCCATCAGAAATTTCTGATTGCTTCCGCGGTGGTGACTTGTAGTCTTCATCATCCTCATCATCCTCATAATCAACTAGTCCACTAGATCTTGGACTACTACAAAAAAGAAAACAAACACATTACAGAGTAAAATCTTTGCGTAAAGCAAATCCATAATATTTTGTGGGGCAACTTGAATACCTTAATGATGGGTAGTTTGCAGTGGATCCATTGGATAAAACAGGCTGAGGTTGTACTCTAGGGGAATGTGAAATGGATGCGGACGCTGAATCTTCTTCGTCGCTGATCAAGCACCGCATTCAGTGGCTACTAGCAAAATTATTCTACATAAAGATTATCTACTACAAGACAATAAAAATGCACCTGTCCTCGTTGAAGTAGTCTTCCTCTTCTTTATCCAGGGCACGCTCATCTCTTCGTTTTCTGGTGTCCAATAAATTAACGGAGTTCTTCATTCCAGGGTTGTCCAGGGACTGCAAAATCAAGATCATCAAGCAAAAGATCTATAAACCTGAAGTAAGATCGAAAAACCAGACAAGAATTGAAGAATACCTGCTCATATTTAACTTTCAGACCATGAATGGCGGTTAAATTCTCAAAATTAATCAACTGATTCCAGAATGAATCAACTACATACTTGAGTAGTACCTTCAAGTTCTCCTGCATGAGTCAGCAGATTCTCTTCCCTGAGATATCCATTTAGCAAGCAAATACATGAGAAGTTGAAAAGAGATGGTCACCTTGCAGAGGTACTCGAAGAGTTCTAGAACAGCAGAGTTCAACAGGTTATAACGATTCCCATTACAAATAAAAGCCTGTACAATTGGTTTCAAAAGGTTGTTCTTCACAATATGATTCATCAGATGCTCATCCTGCACAATGCCATACGAATTTACCTCGTAAATAAACATGCTGTCCAAAAGAAATATTAATTCAAGCAAACCACTTGCATTCACAAGCAATCGCCATGAGCTCACAGTTTCGTTGTGCTGCTGGCTTCAAATTTTGGGTTTGGAGCTGGGGTTGGGTATTGTGATTATAGCTTGAAAACTTGTGTGAGGTGTTGTAAGCAAGGTTGTTAAGATCGCGATCCGGATTGTAGCATCATACGATCCTACAATTCAATTAATACAAATCAATCCGACTCGCACTATGGATCGCACCTATGTCAGGATCGTTACAGGATCAGTAGGATTGTGGGATCCAAGGTTCTGAAAAGCGGTTGCGGTCGCCGTAACAGTAGCGGTGGCGCAGTTGCGGTTGCGGTTGCGGGGTGTAAAGGCTGTAGCTTAATGGTTGCGGTAACTGAAACCGTGCATTTTTTTATTTTTCGCACAATTTGAAAAAAACTTACTGATACACAAATTTTTCTTCCATGATCATATTTATTGGGTTTAAAATACATATTGATCAATTTTTATAAATTTTTAAGTATGATCCAATATATTTCATATTTTTAAATCTCTATAAACTGAGTTTTTTACATTTTATTTTAATAATTAATGACTTTATATTATACAAAAAAACAATCTACGACAGCCGCTACAGCCGACACACCTGTGAATCTCAATCACTGCAAAAGCGGCTGTAACGGGTGACGGTAACCACCACAACCGTTACGTAACGGTGTTACATAACGGTTGCTGTCGTTTTTTAAAACCTTGGTGGGATCAATACGGTATCGCGGCTATTTACGATCCTGTAAAAAAGGCTTTTTTGCTATATTTGAGTCAAAATACGTATCTGAAGAGGAAAACAGTGGAAAAAATTACTCTCCACTCCAAGGCTGTTTACATGTGATTAGGGCAAGACAAGTATGGGAAAGAGATCGAACATCAAAGCTTCAGATTTTCTGGAACCAGCTCCAGGTACTCCTCTTCTTCTTCTACTTGGTTCGTATTCGAATCTTCCTTCTCTCTCTTTTTTTTTCAGTCTTCTTCGTTTTTCCTTCTGCTGCTGCTGCTCCTTCTTCTTCTCTCTGTTCGAATGAATTCAAATCTGCCTTGTTCAGTTTTTGTTTTTCTAATCTGCCCCAACCCTCTCAATTCTCTACCCGACTTTATACCAGTCAGTGTTTCTCTCTCTGCTAGTTTCCCTGTAAAATTCATGGCTTTTGTTTATTATTAATGGGTCTTTTTTTCTTTTTTCTTTTTTGTAATTTGGGTATCTAGTTTTGATTTTGTTGAATTCAACTAGGCTTGCGGTAATACCACGTTTGATATACAGATTGTTTTGGGGGAGTTGAACATAATGAGATTATGGTTGTGGCCCTTCCTAAGGTCCACAATTTATAATTTTTAGTTGCAGGGTTTTGATTTTTTGGTCTATAAATTGCTAAGGATTGGCTCCTCAAAATAGTTTGTCTCATCACAAAATGCGCTATCAAATTAGTATTGTTTGGTGTTGGTTATGAATGGTATTCATTTTTTTTTTTTTTGGTCTGACAGTTAGGAGTGGAGATGTCTATGGTGTGCACATTTGTGTGTGTGTGTGTGTGTGTGTGTGTGTGTGTGTGTGTGTGTTGTCATTCTATGTACATTTTGATAGTATTACTTAATCATATCAAAATTATTACTTTCTTTTATCATCTTAGTAAGATCTTACGATTCTCGATCCGATCATACGATCCAATCCAGTAGACCCCCAAAACAATCCCAAGTAGGATCCTGATCTTAACAACCTTGGTTGTAAGTGCAAGTACTAAAGCATCTGTCTTCAAATTATAAACTAAATAAGTTGCAAATAAGTAGAAACAAACAAGTACATTGTTGGACCCCTTTCATATCAGCTTAAATTTCCCTCCCTTCCAGAACTTTGTTACCCAAATGAGAAAAATGGGAAACATATCACTCAGCAAATGAAAACCAGCAGAAACTTACATGCACACTATGAGGGTAAATTCACACAAAATTTGGAATGCATCATGACAAGGTTCATGTCAGCCAACAAGTTCTTATGAGTATCAAAGGAAATCACTTACACTACGGGAAATAAGGGTCCGAAAAAAACGAACAGCAGCAAGTACAAGGTATTTTTCCTTCCTATGAGTCAGGAACAAAACTTTATCTAGCACATTATGAAGAAGAAAGTTGCACCTGCAAACATGAGAAAACACATTAAGTCCAAATATCATTGTCAGAAGCGGATCATCAAAACTAAATGACCATAAAAGCAGCACCAAAAATTACTTTATTCTGCATGGATGGTGCAAAACACAAAAGCACAGCAGTTCACATATGTTCAAGAGTATTTCTGGCTTTGCTCGGATTTCATTTTCAGCACTTCCAAAGCCCACAGATTTGCTGACTGATTGATCAATGCTGTTAGGAGGGCAAGATGATGTTATAACATCAATTAATTGACCCAAGTGCTTCTCATAGAAAATCTCAATGATAGTATCTCTCTGCAAAAAATCAAAAAAAAAAAAAAAAGGAAAGAAATGATCAAACACAATGATGCCATAGACTCAAGTAGTACTTCAAAGAACAAATGAGAAAGAAACAAATTTAATGTACAAGCAATTATCATCCAAAAACCTTTTAGAATATTTACAGCACAAATTTAAATGAATAACCATAAACCTTCGGAAGAAAAAGTAAACACAAATCCAGCATGCTCCAAAAATGCAAAATACACAGTAGCTCCAAAAGATCCACAATCTAGAAGCTCAGAATGAAGATCACTGTGTTCCAATTTACACCTATATTTTCTGGTAAATAATTTAGATCTAGACCCTAACTCCAAACCTATTCTACTAGGTAGTACTGTGACACAGACATTAAGATTGAACCAGTTCCCATCCACAGTAGCACCTTTTAGTGGGTTAGTTCAATTACTTATAGAACCACTTCCGTTGTGCGCTATTAGGGCATTTTAAAAAAATTTAGGGAGTTTTTAAAGTCTCACATGGCAGAATATTATTTAGAAAGTCTTTTTAGAATGTTTCCTAATTTTAATTTTTGCAAATATCACTCTTTTGCTTGAAGAAGTGAGTCTAGGTTCAACATATCTCCTCCCTCATATCAACTACAAATCAATGTTTTGAAAGGCATTATTGAGGTTGCATCTAGGCGAGGCTCCTGCTACTGCAGAGCCTAGGGAGGGTCAGATGTACGCAGCCTTAACCATGTGCAGAGAGACTGTTTTGAAGGTTTGAACCCATGATGCAGAGGTCACAATAGAGCAACCTTACAGATGCTTTCTTTCAACCAAAACAAAAAGCATTCAAATAATTCAAAAAACATAAATTTTATTGCACAACAGTTGACTACTATCCACCACATGTTCTGTAAGCAGATAAAAGATATTTCAATACTGCTATAGAACTCCATTTGGCAATCAAAAGTCATTTGAAAAACATAAAAGTTGCATAACAAAATGAATAATCATGCACCTGTGATCCTGATGTATAAGAATCCAAAAGGTTTCGAAGAATTTCAAGAAATTGGCAATGCATGTCATCCCCAAAATCTGTTATCATGCCTTTAACCTACAAATACATTAACCACACAACAATTAACTCTTTTCTTTGGAGAGAGAGAGAGAGAGAGAGAGAGAGAGAGGAGGAGGAGGAGGAGGAGGAGGAAGAGGAGGAAGTGCATAACCAAAAAGAAAAATAAAGGAAAACACAAATTTATATTTAAAAAAAAAAGAAAAAGAAAAAGAAAAAGAAAAAGAGCATACTCAAATTGAAATCACAAGCATAAGAATAGTTGCCTCCATTTTAGAAACAATGAACACAATAATATACAGTAGCAACAAAGGTATTACCAAAGCCTGACTAAGAGCAACACACTGTAGTACAGAAAGGTACCATTTCAACTAGCTACAGCACATTAGGCCCCACCTGATTGGGACACATGACTTTGTTTAGTTTACAATACATTAGGCACATCTCTACAAGAAAAGCCCTAAAACTTTTTTCTAATTTGCAAGTCTGATAGATGTCCTTAGATCTGATGTCTCACCATTAGATGTATGTGTGTCCTAATCAAGGACATTAGGACATTAGGCCCCACCTGATTGGGACACATGACTTTGTTTGGTTTACAATACATTAGGCACATCTCTACAAGAAAAGCGCAAAAACTTTTTTCTAATTTGCAAGTCTGATAGATGTCCTTAGATCTGATGTCTCACCATTAGATGTATGTGTGTCCTAATCAAGGACTAGGAGACCATGTGTTGATGAAAACCAAATTAACTTTGTACACTTACAAATGAGAATGCTTTTATTTGCTTTGCTCAAAACATGAAGAGAAGAAAATGTTCGTTGTGCCTTTTATTTACTCTATTTAAAACCTCGAGGGGCACATTATTCTTCAAGACAATAGTATCATGGCTAATATAATACAACCAAAGTATTTAAACACTACGTTGTGGTTTTTCCACACAAATGTAAAGCCAGGTTCTTGTACCTGATCTTGCTTCTTGCTATAAAATCTGTTGCTGTTACCAATCAAAAAATAAAATAAAGATAAAAAGACGGTGTCTACATCTTGCCTCACCCATATAAATTTAAAGGGTGTTCACATTTTTCATATTTTATTACTATATTTTATTTTCTCAGTAAGTAGGGATCATATTATTGAATAACGTGCTTGGAGCACCATCCGTTTAAACATAAAAATAAAAAAATAAAAAGAAAGAAAACAAACAAAACTATGCACCCTTACACACTCACACCCTTGTCCATTAATACAAACCCCAAAAGAAAGATCGAAGGAAAAGAAAACAAACAAAAGTAATTTTGTTGTAAGTAGTTGCATATACACAAGTCAAGTCAAGAAAAATAATCAAATTGGAGGAGATTGTCTGGATGACTTGACAAGCAAGCAACGAGGTGAAAGATATATGAAAGTCACCTGAGAGATATATGACAGTTCGCTATGACTGAATTACAGTGGAGCCGCCTATCTTACTTCCAAAAGACCATTTGATCAGCCAGTCAAGATATTGTAGTTCTTCAAGTAAGATGTACGTTATATTATCATGTTGAAACATCATAATTGTAACTTAAATTGTTGATAATTGTTACATTTGTACATATCACCAGTTTATGTGAAAACTAGTGGATATAGAACATGCTTTAATTATTTGAAATATTATATTACCATATCTTGGTTTCTTATCACCAACACCAAAAGAGCTTACAATGATACATTATATATGGCATGCCACTATTGTACAGACTAAGGCACATGAACCTTGTATGAGTTGAGAAGAAAGAGAAGGGCGAGGGGTGAAAAACGTACATACCAGAAGTCCAAACAGGGTGACCCCTTCCTGCCTAGTGACATAAGAACGCAAAAGATTTGGATCCTGATTAAGGAAGAGAATAAGAATGTCTGTCCTGCATCCATCATAATGACTTATCATTCGGACAAATATCATTGTTCAGGAAAGAGAAAAAAATACAAAGAAAAACAGAATACTAAAGCGTGTGAAAATCTAAGTCATTACCCAATTAATACAAGCTTTTTATCTTGACTCTGCAAGACATCAACCATGATATCAAATAAGCCTTCATTAACTAGATCCCTACATGCATTCAAAAAAATTTATGTGAATTTATGCACACAAATATGTGAATGCATAATTAAAGATACATGCTAAATGAAAGATGATATCAAAGATAATATACATATATAAGGGTTTCAATTTTGAAATTTTGATAAATAAAATAGGGCCAATATATGTAACTTCTGTTATGTGTACCTAAATAACCGTTGTTGTTGGATCATCTGCAAGCTCTTGGTTAGACTACAAAACTCATGCAAGAAAAGTATCTGTTTTCAAGAAAAAAGCAAACAAGTTCAAATTCATGACGAGCTGTAACATAATAAAGCTAAGAGTCACCCACGGTCTGAGAGCAGAAAATGAAAAAGAAAATATAAGTTAAATTAAAGGTATAATACAGGCATAAACATGCAACTAGTCCGCTAGAACATAATTTACAGTCTTAAAATATGTCTTATTGAAGCACTTATTCTTTGAGGGGACTAGAGTTTCCACCACATAATTAAATCGTTTACTGTCGAGCTCTTTGTTATATTGGTTGCATGGAGCCTAATGCTAAACCTATTGATTCTTTTGAAGAGATCTGGGTAGCATGTTTCTTTCAATGAGTATTATTGGCCTTCTCTTGTATGATCGCGCACGAGTTGCTCCCGTCCCTATGGCACATTTTAATGAACTACTTAATATATCAACACAGTACTCTCCAAAGAGCAGGTCAAGTTCTAAAAAGCAAATGAGACAATTATTTGAGGACAAATATCTTCAATTAGGAAACAGCAATACACACATGGAATCATCTATGATAAAGAAACAATGTTGAATGAACAAACAAAAGCAAGAACACCTTAAAGCTTAGTCCATTTATTGCTCACAGTAACCCGTTCGTTTTGGCCTAATAAATAACAGTAAGGTACTTGATTAACAACACCCAAAACAGCATCCAAGATTTTAAAATTTTTGAAATTCAACATATTGAAATTTCCAACAGCATACAGAAATGGTTGAGGAAGGATGGCCCAAGAAAGATAATATAGAATCCCAGCCCCAAAAGTAAATAAATAAATAAAACAAAAATAAGAAAAGGCACAAACCCAACTGCATTCCACATGCTGTAACTTGCATGGTGCATACAGTGGCCATAAGCCAAAAAAGGTGAGTACTTGTTCAGAAATTACCAAATTTTTCTTTGACTCTGCAGAAGTGGTAGACAACCTCAACCTTGCAAACAATTCTTGAATAAAGGTGTTGTCATCTTTTAACCAAGAAACAACCTGCAAAGAAATAAGAAAATCAAGAACAGGAGAACAACCACCCAAGGCTTAGGCTGTATTGAAATTCGAATTTAAACATCTTACCATGGCATTATTTGAATGAATTATGGAATTGAGATTTGCAAGAGTTGCGTCATCCAGCACTCTAGGCAAAATGACATCCTAAAAAAGATGAAACAAGATAAGAAATATACTACAGCTACAGGCAATAAATAAACTACGTGAGCATTGAAGATATTTGCCTTCAAATAGCCAACTCTATATGTTTGGTGTATCTTCGACAGGACCTGCGGATCTTTAATTGGTATGGCCTACAAAACCAAAGACAGACAGACAAATAAATAAGATACCAGAAACACAAATTTTTATACCCAAAGGGTGGCCTTTACTACATCAAGCACCCCCAAACACCAACTTCGAAATTGCATTGGGAATGGAGGAGAAAAAAATACAAAAGGGAAGTTATTGAATAATATGTACCTCCTTAAAGACCACATGCTCTTTTAAAAAACTGCGATGACGTTGAACATGAGGTATATCTGGATCATCTGCAGGCCAGAATTAAAGCAATTCGTCGTGTAAGTGTTACAGTTGCAACATATCTAAGAACCTTTGGTTTATCATTGACCAAGGGGTATTTGGACACAGAAGATTGCACAAGTTGTTTTAAGTTTCACTTGTCGGGTGGATTACATAGACGTATTCTTAAAGCACAAAATCACAAACAAGGAGAGTGAAAACACTAAGGAATCACAAAGCGCATTCCCATGCAAGTATTCCAGCACACACGCACCATGAAAATATGCACTTCATTGGCTTCAGACAACATGAAAATATGCACTTCATTGGCTTCAGAATTTCTATCAATAGATAGGCAGCTACCAAACCATATATAAACACTAATAAACGATTACTGCCAGAAAAGAGGAGTCACAAATAAGTGATAAATAACAATGAAGAACTGTACGAAGAAAAATGATTTACCAACACGTTATAATCAGAAATTGGTGATCTGTGAAATCAACAACCCACAACAAAATAGCATAGCGCAGTCCAACAAGTTAAGCATATTGGAACTACTTCCTGCCATGCAACTTGCAGCTTGGCACAAGGTAAAAGAGAACTTGGCTGTTAATCATATCCAAGTAAGACAACACTAACTAACAACATTGACAACGATAGGTATCAAGGCAAGGCAATCTTAAACAAAACCACAAACAGTAGTCTTCTAAATATTAATTACTGTAGCTAATAACCAGCACATGGAAGAACTATGTTAGCCGAAATGCAAAGTCATCTAAAGCAATAACACTAGGGATATAATCACAGTAAAGTCACTGACAGAACTACAGAAGGTAACTAAAAGTATACTTCAGACCAACAGAAATATAACTTACGTTCAAGAGACCCAATAGTATCCATGACCAATTCATCTGCAAATATTGTCTCAAAGATCTGAGGACTATTGAATAAAACTGCAGGTCAACATACTAATACATTAGTATGAAGGAAATATATTAAGAACCATACAAGAGGAAAAAAAACATTTATAGGAGATAACAATCATTATAACAACAATAAGAAAAAGAAACTTAAGCAAAATGGTTTACTAACTGATCCCTCTGACAATTTTGAATATCATGTGAAGACCATCAATATCGTCCAAGTCTTCGCAGATTCTAAAAAGGTCCATCAGTTTACGGAAAAAATCTTGCTGCAAAAAAAAATAAATTTCGTAGTCAGAAAAATCTATCAAGAAAATCATAATCATGAGAGCAAATGCCATCAAGTTGAGAATAAGGATGGAAGAGATGAAAAGGACACCAAAAATAAACAAAAGAAGGGCCAAGGCTTGTAATGTGCTTGGTTAGATGTCAAAGAACAATAGTATCCCTTTTTCTAAAACAATTTCAATGTCCAGGTTAACTAAATACAAGATAAAGTTTATGATCCAATTTCAAAACAAATGGTGTTAATATGGGCATTCACACAACAAGCTACCATCCTTCTAGCATAGATATACACAACATTTTATTGAACACTCAAAAATTCCAAACTTCGCATGTTCCCCGTCGATTTAATTCAATATCAATGAACACCATGGTTAATGGAGAAGTTAAGGTGCAATTTATAACGTGCATAGGTATTAGAAATACTGATACAAAAAGATAATTTTTTTATTGAGAACAAGTTTCCAGTATTGTTAGGTTTAACTGTCTAACACAATACAAAGAATTCTAGGCCTTGTTTGGTTTGCATTTCAGACAAAATTTCAGAATTTTTTTGAAAAAATGGAAACTAGTTTGATAAAAATAAATATCAAAAATATTATTTTAAATTTTTAAAAATTATTTCTAACCTCCCAAAAGATAAAATTATATATAAATGATAAGTGTTTTTTTATTTTTTTTTATTTCTTTCACCAAATTAATTTTTAGTTTTTTTGAAAAAAAATTCTGACACAAATTTCCGAAAGCCAAACCAACATAGCCCTAAACATATTTTTTTTGGTGGTGAATCACTTTATTAAAATAGATTATGTCTAAACGTCCAACACAATACAAAGAACTCTAACATAAACAAAATCACAAAAAAGTTGTAGAAAACTTACATCATGTAATATGAGTTCTGTTACACGCATCTGATCAGCAATGCCACTCTCAACCACAGTCTGCAAGACCAAAAGTGATGAAATTTTCATCAAACACACACACAAACATTTATTGTGCATGTACACCCCATTAACTAAAAAGACAACAGAAAATGACAAAATGAACTGTTATCATGCCAAGGAAAAAGATATACGCAGGGGGGGAAATAGAAATAACAAACATTGAATAACATGATATTAAAAGAAGATAAAATAAGCACTATTGATATCTACCACCTCAATCATAGCAAGGATCAAGAACGCTTTCGTGAGGCTTGAAGCAACCAAAGTTTACAGTTACCCAAGATTTATAGTTCCAGCAATAGCACTAAAGCTATTTTATAAAATCACTACTAACGACAATGGAGGTTGTCAGTTCTCCGTAATATTTTGTCAAAAGCACCAGGGGGGGGGGGGGGCAAGGGGGGGTTCCTACCAAATGTTTATGTCAGAAGCTTGATTTTTTGAAGCTATTTGTGTTTTAACTTGTATCAAAGCTCTGATTCCAAAAACTAAGTTCAAGTTTTGTAATATGTTTTGTTTCCCACTATGCTTATCATGCAGCACACTATTCTGTGTGTTTGTGCACCATGTTCAGTTCAGGACTGATTCATTGGTTTGGTCCTCCATGTGCAAAACATAGTCACACGCGAAGGAGGTGTTAGATAGCTTGACACACATTGTTGGGCGATTTACTGGCAACATATGCTTTTGAGGCAAATAATGTTCTAATAACAATATACATCAAGGGTCACCTACAAAGAACCCACATCCAGTATCTAAGGCCACGTTTGATAACTTCGCTAGTTTCCAATTTTCTCATTCCAAAAAACCATGTTTCATTTATCAAAATTTTTTTTTTTTCCTTTTTTGCAAAAACAAAGACAAATAACATGTATTGCATACACAGGTTTTCAAAACAAATAAAAACAAAAACAAGAAAACATGTTTGGTGAGTTGTAAGAGGGAAAGTAGCCAGAAGAGGGCAGAGGGGAGAGGGAGTGAATGAAAATTTATTTTCAAAACAAGTGAAAACACATTTTTTGTGTTCTCACTTTTTTCCCAATTTTTGAAAATTGTTGCATTTTTGGCAACAAAAACCATTATCAAACATGTTTCCGTTTCTATTTTTCAAACAACATAAAACAAAAAAAATTACCAAACATGCCCTAAAGCATCAACAAAATCCAAAAGTTTATCAAGGGAGGGTGTAAAATAAATTGATGTATATTATTGATTGATGTATGTTGTTGATCTTATTGAATGTATACAATCACTCTCCTATATATAGAAGAGAAAAACATACTCACCTACCACACTCAACTCTCACCTAACACACTCAACTCTACCTACCACACTTACAGTCCCCCTCAAACTCAAGGAGGATAGATACTAACCAACTTGAGTTTGGAGAGAGTAACAAAGCAGGAAAGTAAACTGATAAATAAAATAAAACAAGATAGGAGACACGGTATGGTCGTGTCAGACCGATGTAGCAGACAGTTTATGGGGTCATGTCGGACCGTTGTAGCAGACAATGTTGTGACAGTTGTGGTGACAGTTTACGGAGTCTTGCTGGACCCTTGTAGAAACTAACCGGAATCAATGTCGGGACAGTTTACAGAATCTTGTCGGACCCATGAATGAGCTAACCGGAATCAATGTCGGGACAGTTTACAGAGTCTTGTCGGACCCTTAAAAAGTCGCACCCTCAAAAGGTGTGCCCAATCTTTCAAAAGGCGTGCCATCAAAAGGCGTGCCCAATTCATAAAAAGGCGTGCCATCAAAAGGCAAACCCAAGTCATAAAAAGATGTGCCGGACATGATGGCGAGGCGCGTCACCACATTGGCTTGCGCGCCCGTTTTGTCGTCTGGCGTCTGGCGTCAAGTGGCGCGCGATGCGCGTGTCTGCCTTGGCTATTTAACCAAGGTTGAGGCGGAGGCTGTGCAAACCAGTCTGAAACCGCCGAACATTTGCATTCTGAAATACTCTGTAAACACTCTGTAACCAATCCTTCTCTGAAAGTACCAGTCGGAAATCGCTGCTTCGCTGAAACACTCAGCAACCCAAAAAACATGGCCTCTTCTTCCCGTTCAGCTACCCAGAATACGGCATCTTCATCCCGTGGTCTACTCACTCTCTTTCCCGACCTCAATGAGTCAACAAGAGAGAGAACTGGTGCGGTGGCCAGTGAACCTCAACCAAACACCTCTGGTTTTGCTCCGTTGAACTTTCCGATGCGGTCGGTGGAGCAAAAAAGGGCGGTGCAAACTGATATTGAGGCCAATCAGTATACTCTGAAGTCATGTGTGGAAACCATGACTGCGGTCACAAACCTGTCGCACCGGCTGCAGAGTAGGACAAATGTTTGTCGAACCGGCTACAGAGTAGGACAAATGAGGTGCAGCAGTTAAACGCCCAACTGGCTCTGCTCCAACGCATGTATAAGGATGCGCGAGCAGAGATAAGTGTGCTAAAGGCGGAAAACAAGGAGCTGAAGCGGAAGGCCACCGTTATGTTCCGATTTGGAGGGCCGCCATATGCTGCAGTGGAGGAACAGGGAGTAGTGATCATGCCCAGTGGAGTGGGAAACACGGAGGCAACACCGGCAAGGGCCGCCCAGGACGGAGGCAAGAAGAAGAGACCGGCGGCAGAGTAGAGAAGAAAAATCCCACGGTGCCGATTTGTGTTGTTTGGTTTTTTTTTTTTTTTTTTTTTTTTTTTTTTTAATTGTGTGGTGTAAAATGGTGATCGGGGTGAGCCCCGACATGAATAAAATAAGTTGGTGTGCAGTTCGTCTTCTTTCTCTGTTTTTGTGTTTTTTTTTTTTTTTTTTTTTTGTTGTGTTTTGGTGCAAAAAAATAACAATGAAAAAAAGATGAAAAATAAAGTGAAAGAGATAAAAAAGAAAGAAAGAATTAGAAGAGATGTGAAATCAAAACGAGAGAGTGAGGGAAAAAAGAGAGGGTTCACGTGGTGCTTGGCCCACAGTGTTGTGAAAATCTGCAATAGTTTTTTTTTTTTTTTTAATGAAAAAATAAATAAATAAATAAGATAAAAGAAAGAAAGTGGAGTGTATTGAGTGGTGTCTGCCATGTGCATGCGTGTGATGAGTGTTTGGGAATATAGGATTATAAAAAGAGATATAGATATATAATATATATAGATAGAATAAAGAAAGTGGGAGAGAGGAGGTTGTGTCAAAAAAAGAGAGAAAAAAAAAGGAAAAAGAAATAAAGAAGCACAGCTGGGGTATGAGCACATGCATAAAGAATTATATAGATAGATATATATATATAAAAGATAAAGAGGGTTTGGGCGGTTGATTAAAAAAGAATTTGTGGGTTTGAAAGTGGCAGAGATTGCCAAGCAGCTTTCTAAATTGAAAGAAGATCTTGAATATGTTAGGTTTCTTCCAAAGACTGAGAAATATGTATCTTTCTTCATGGGAGGTGATGACACAGACATAGTTGATAGAAGAAAAGTGAGAGAGTGAGATGGGTGGGTGTTTCCGAGAAATGGAGAGAGGTCCAGCTTGTCTGGTGTGGCTTGCAGTTTACTCTCTCTCACCCTCCATCTCACAGCAGCCATGATAATGCCAGAGAAGAAACCGTAAAGAGATCTGCAAATACCTCTTCCAAGAAGGAGTGTGCGAAGCGAAGAAGGACTTCAACCTTGCAAAGCAACTAGAGATCGATGTTCCAAATCTGCAGGTGAGGAAGCTGATGCAGAGCTTCAAGTCGAAGAAGTACGTGCCGCAGAGGACGGTGTTTCTGCAACATAAGGGAAGTCGAGGGAGCAGGTGGGAAGTCGTCGTCGTCAAGGAGGATGTCGTCGGGGAACCGGAAGAAGGTCGCTAACTGGGCGCGACGGTGGTGGGAGCAGCGGGTGGGGTGTCGCCAGCTGATCGATGTCGGTGAGGCCGGAGTGTACGGCGGCGATGGACTTTTCCGGCGAACGACTTGCCGGAAAAAGGTTGCTGACTGATGGTTAAAGTATTCCTTCGGCAGTGCAAGGAAGGCTCCGAGTCGGGCTGCGATATGAAGGCAAGCCGCCTGAGGACTCGGAGCAATATGGCGAAGAACTCGAAGTAAAGTGTAGAAAATTCCAACGGGCAGCGAAGGCAAAGTTGCCGGCCGGCTGCCCGCCGGTGAGAAAAAAAAACAGGCCTAAATCTTAGTGCTCTGATACCATGTAAAATAAATTGATGATATTTATTGATTGATGTATGTTGTTGATCTTATTGAATGTATACAATCACTCTCCTATATATAGAAGAGAAAAACATACTCACCTACCACACTCAACTCTCACCTAACACACTTACATCTACCTACCAACTCAACTCTCACCTAACACACTCAACTCTACCTACCACACTTACAGAGGGATTCACCCTTGCAAGGACAAATTTATGCCAAACAAAATAAAAGGCAAGTTCAACTGATAAATTGAGTCTCTGTGTCCTCAAAAGAAGCCTATTTCATTCCCACCATTAACACCACATCAAACCCAAGGATGCAACCGCCCCAGCTTCCTCTTACTAAATAGAAAGAAAAACATGAAGAACGGAAAGAAGAGAAAAACATTATCAACACTAAGAAGCTATATCAACATATCGGCTATGTGAGTACGTCTCTCACAACAGTCAAAGTCCATGTAACATGAATCACAAGCTTCTCATAGTGGTTCATACTCACTTAGTGATTACAATTATACCATAGTTACAAGATACACAGACCAAGTAGGAAACTAAAAACTTCAGTTAACTAGGAAAACATTTTCAATAATCATTCAGCATTTAACCATAGGTGTTCAATGTTAATCACTCAAATCCAGCAGCATAAAAGGCAACATTAAAAAGGAATAATAACCAAAACAAACACCAAGGCATCAGATTCAACCTTCAGTATTATAGGAAGTGTAGATAGCTCAACGGCAGGCAACTCCCTCAATTCACTGTTGACACTATGATAAGTCTCATCTGCAGAAGTAACAACAAAGATCAACTATTCATAGCATCATGAATAATACAAGTTTTTTATGAATTAATTGTTTAAAATGACAAAATAAAAATCTGCAGGACAAAGGGCCTGTGAAGGCATTTAACTAGCAGTGCTGAAAAATAGTTGGTAATGTGTTTGGCAAAGGTTTCCTAAGAAGTGCTGAAATAGGGACATATATGAAATTATCACTTTTCTTCAGACAAAGTTCAAAAGTTCATATAACTCAATGTAGGGTAATTACAATGACCCCTCCCTTGAAGTATAGAAAAATTACAATTAACCCACAGTTTAACATAATTACAAAAGCTTCCCCTCCACTAACAGCAGGTTAAATGAAGCTAACTGAGTTTATGAATTTACTATCACACCCTTTATTATTTTTTATTTTATGGAATAATTATAACTTCTTTAAAAAGAAAAGAAATCTTGTGTAGTAGCTCATGAATGCACCGAGAAATCTTGTATCTTGCCTAACATACACAAGATTTCTCAATGGATGTGCACTAAGAAACCTTACCTTGCATACACTAGATTTCTCAATGTACTCTTAGCTTTGAACTATAAATTCTAAGCAAACTTAAAAAGTAAAATCTAATACCACTTAACTCCATCAAACACATGGATGGACACCTTTTCAAATATTTGGTTACCAACCCAACAAGGAAACTGACTTATTCAAGTTTACAACAAGAATGCTATTAGATGTCCAACACATATGTTTTCTACGAACCTATACAAGTAGCATCCAATACACAAACAACTAAATTTACGTTGGTATGATGTTAACAATCATAGATCACCAATAGATAGTTTTAGCCTCCCTAAGACGTTTGAGTCAAATCAAAATAGAAACAACAAAACCAGTTGAAATTAGAAAGTTAAACAATGATTCAAGTACCAATCGACTATGTTCGTTCCAATCACCCAAATAGATCCAATATTTAAATCCAAACTAAAGTAGCAATATCAAGGCTCCCGAATAATCTTGAGAAAGAAGAAAAATAAATTACAGACTATCTACACAAATTGGACCAACAAGACCTTCCTATAATTAACAAGATAGCAACCAGCTTCTAACTTACAGAAATTGGGAATTCAAGAAAGGATAAATCACATGAAAATATGACAATAATTGTTTTAAGAGTGGATCATAGCTAATACTTACTGTTAAGAGTATTAAAATGCATGTTTCTTTGCACACTAAATGTTATCCCTAACATGAAAAAAGTATGTCATTAGGTAATAAAGAAAAATAAATAAAAGCTTAAAAAACTACAAAGCAATAGAACGCCAATGAGAAGAATACTATTACTAGTACCATATGTATGAGCACCCTGTAGTTCCTGAAAGCTAAGAGCTAATTCAGTTGAAAACTCTGGATCTCTCCATGAGAATAATTGTACTGGAAGGAGGGGAAAAAAACTAAATTAAGCAATAACCCTAAGGAAAAAACGAATAACAAGAATCACTTGTGTAAACAAAAAGAATACCTTTTGTTTTCGGTAAATATCATCTGAACTAATACGTGCAAAAGTAATGTTTCATTGTCTTCTTCATCATAACAAACAAACCCAGTTCTTCCGATCTCTGGTGTGTGATATTTGGATTCAATCAAAATATCAGTCAATTCATTTTCACAAGGAACCTTTGATCACAAATTTAGCAATGTAAGGGAAAAACAGATTATGGAAACAACCACACTCCAATAATCAACAGTAACATGCCCAGTTCCTTGGTCATCCCACTTCCTCACCACTCAGACGGTAGATTTGACACGCTGAAATTTAATTGAAATTAAATATAAACAAGAAGCACTTTCACCAGTTAAGAAAAACTTAACAGAATTCTCACTTAACAATGGTGCCAAAGATAATAGGCAGACATAAAATAGAAACCCACCATTGAAAGATACACCATGATCAAATGCATCTATAGATGCACAAGGAAGAGAGGTCATAGTGTGTACATACGGTGACTACAACCAGTTCTGAAAAAGCCTCTCGAGAGCTAATAGTGAAAAACATGGTTGTTAGAATCGTGTGATTCACAATACAATTTAGTTATATTGATATTTATTTATGTTAAACATTGTGTATTTGTAGAAATATATAAAATGGCAAATACTAACAAGAGCCCCGGCGGCATTGTTTAATATTGGGAT